GTTTATCCCTCCACCCTTCAGTTAACCCCACATGTGTTTATTGGCCAAGTTGGCACAATAAACTAACTACCTCAAATATTATTAGTTTTAAAGATTAATATGGCATCATGGCTACCTATAATACTAGGTTCGATTTACAAAGAATTTAATGATGTCCTGAGATAAAATATTATCTTAGTCTGAGTTCTCTATAGAATCAAAACCCGTTAAGTTTTTATATGTACCTATACAGAAACACTGATTGCAAAGAAATGGTCCACACAGTTCTACAGTGGGCAAGCTCCAAATCTGTGGAGGCTTCTTCTATGTCATCATGTTACAGGAACTTGCAAATGCAGGATCTGCAAGTCAGAACAGGCTTCCAGCTGTGGAAGCAGACAGATTGTAATTGACAGATAAGCTGGTAGGCTGCAGTGCAGTCCAACGAATCCCAAGATTGCTTGACAATATGAAAGGCAGCTGAGTATAATCCAAACAACGAGATGATGATGAGCCAGATTTAGGATCAATTCCAATTTCTGTACCGATGAAGAAAGTTTTGCCTGAACACCAATATACAAGGGGTACCCCTCAAAAAAATGGGAAAAGCTCCACTGGGCAGAACTTTCATCACATGCATTTTTCCCTGCTATCAAGCATCCTGCAACTTGTTCTGAGGAAATTCACCCAATGGTATCACATGGAAAGGTTCTCTCTGGTCATGGTGAATTTTTTCGTAAAAGCGGTTTCATTCAAACCTCTCTTTTTGTGATGGCTGATTTAAGAGAACTGCATGTGGCTGTGAAATTTTGTCTCTTGCTTGGGAAAAGTGCCACAGAAACTGTTGTGATGTTGAACATAGCTTACAAGGACAGCGCTGTGGGAAAATATCAAATATATGAGTGGTCTTCTCATTTCAAAAAAGGTGAAATGTTGATTGATGACAAACCTCATTATGGACATTCATCATCTTCCCATACTGGCAAAAATGTCAACTTGTAGTGCATTTGGAGTTCATTCCACCAGGTCAGACTATTAATCAAGCTTGCTGTTTAGAGGTTCTGTAAAGATAGAGTGACAGTGTGTGACAACAAAGACCTGATCCGAGGCAGACAGGCGACTGGTTTTGCCAACACAACAGTGTACCTGCTCACACAACCATCTCAAGTGTGCCACTTTTTGGCAAAACAGCATGCCTCTCTTACGCCACACCCATCTAACTCACCTGACCTCACTCCATGCGACTTCTTTTAAAGGGACATGAAAAGACAGCAATTTGATGCTATAGAAGAGGTGGGGAAAAAACGAGGGAGGTGCTGTCAGCTGTCCAAGCAGATGAGTTTGAAAAAATGTTTCCAAGGATGGAATCACAGATTGCACCAATGTATTAAGTGTAATGGAGAGTACTTTGAAGATGATAAGGGTGTTTTGTTTAAAAAAGTAAACAAAGAACTTTGAAAAAAATTCAGTTTTATGGGGTGGTACCCCTTTTATATTGGAAGCAGATCATTACCCCTCCCTCCATGCCATCCCTTGCACCAAACTAGCTTTTCACAGCAGAACTTACATAATATTAGATCACATCATGGGAGAGATCTATGACATAAACCAAGGGGACATGTAATCTTAACTATCAGAAATATTGCTCCAGAGCACTCCGAAAATTGTCCAAGCTTTTTGATGGTGGTTATTTT